GACGACGACAACGTTATTGTTGTTGTGGTTCCCGCCTCTTGTAAGATCATAATTCACACGCTGCAATCGAAAAGCAATAAAAGGCGAGCACCGGCAAGTGGCCATCATCATAAACGGCACGATTTCGAGGCAGACGCCTCGACGGCAACAACAGCAGGCAGCAGGCAGCAGCAGCAGCAGAAACACAGCAAAACACGAGCGATAAATCGAGCAGGGACAACAGGTGTCCAATAACAAGAGCCACAATAGCAGTAGTAGCCGATGCCCAAGCCCAAACCCAAACAGAAGCAGAAGCAGAAGCAAAAGCAAAAGCAGAAGAAGCACAAGCAAATAAAAATGCAGCAGCAGCAGCAGCAGCAACAACAACAACAGCAGTTGCCTTTTGTGGTTGTTGCTGCTGCAGCTTCCGCATTCGCATTTGGCCTTCGCCCAGCTTTTGACACCAGCAAACACCAACAACAACAATAAGAACAACAAGCACTCTTCTTTGGGTCTGTGGGTAACAATGCCAAACAGATAAACGACAGAGAGGCCAGCCACATATTGCCCCTCATCCTTAAGGGCAGCCACAGCACGCAGCGGGGCAAACAAAACAGAGATGCAAACGATGAAAGGAGCGAAGGGGGCAAGGTGAAGGGAACATCAACTGGGCCACTGAGTGCCTTAAATAGAGTTCAAATCAGGCAACGTTGCACGTTTTGTGCCTGTTTCACTTAATTGCACCTTTGATTGCAACTCCCTTTGCCATTTTATTTATGAACATAAATTCACACACACACACACACACACACACACTTCTTCATTAAGAGCAGAAAGAATTCGTCCAAAATAAAAGAGAACTGAACCAGCCTGATGATTGATAAGTTTTAAGTCAGAGAATGATAGTTGCTTTGAGCAAAGCCAAGCTGAGCTGTCTTGATGGATGCACAAGGGTACAAGGAGAAGCGGCAGCGATGAGGGCGTGGGTGGTGGTGGTGGAAAAGGCAACAGGCAAGCGTAGAAAATAGCACACAGTGGCAGCAAACCGAGCAAGAGGCAGATAAAATAGCGCGCGTGCAACCTTGAGATAATTTAATCGTTTCTGTTTGAGAGCAAACACACATATATAAATAAATATATACATATATATAAATAATATATAATATATATAATATATATATATATATAATCGCAAGCAAGAGATGCGAGGGGCTGTCGATCGGTCGAGTCAAGAACGCGAATTGTCAGCAAACAATTGAAAAGAAAGCAAACCGATGAGAAAAGCGACAGTTTCCTCATCGACAATTGAACTGGCAACGGAATTGTAGCTGGAATCTGAATCTCAATCTGAATCAGAATCGGAACCAGAACCAGAACCGGAATCATCGATTTCAATTCCGTTGAACACTTTGAATTCAATTTAATTATGAAAAAACTCAACTATTCAAAATGAGGCTAAGTTTTAACTTTACTTTTATTTCTGTCTATTTCTGGCTGATAAATCTTGGTATTTAACAAGAATTAATAATGAAAGTGCACTCAAAAATACGCTGTTGACTGTCTGAGCAAATGAATGGTGTTTAAATAAGTAGCGACAATAACAGTCATAGCTGTTAGCTGTGGCATATGTAAACTGAAAGTTGCACGAACAAGTTCAATGAAAATATTATAAAAAATACTTGAAAGAATGCTCAGGTGTTCGCGAGCGTAGTCAGCTCCTTTAGGCGCATCATTAGGTTTCGCTTCCCAAAACAATAATCAAACAAAAGAACTAAGAAGAAAAAGCAGCAGCAGCAGCAACTGAAAGAAAGCATTTCTTTATCGATGCGAATTGTTGTTGTCAAGCACTCGAAGTGAACTTTGCACAAGGCAACAGGCACAGACAGCGAGGTCTCAATGTTGCTGATGTTGCTGCTTGTTGCTGTTGTCGTTGTCGTTGCTGCTGCTGCTGCTGCTGCTGCTGCTGCTCTTAGCTCATCGTCAGCAAACACTGATAAATTATTTGACAGATTATATTTGCGTTGAACTTTGGCAACAGTCGGCGGCTGCATTAATAAAAATAAGAACACACGACGCAAGTGTAGAGCAAGTTTTGCACAAAAATATTGTACATCAAACAAATAATAGTTGCTGCCATCGTCACGACTAGCCGATACCCTAATAACCCAACTGACATGCTGGTCTAATATTCCCAACAAATGTCTACAATGAGCCAAGTGTTTCATCCAAGATACTTTTGACTTTAAAATACTCGCATATTTTATTATCTCTTAGCTAACTAAAAACTGTATCAGTGTATCAATATATATATATATATTTACACACATATATATTAACAACTATAAGAAAATACATATCAAAATGATCAGCTGGTAAATTGAACAATAATTTCATATTTTTACAGGGTATGCGAGGAGCAACTGCACATAGAGCATAGAGTGAAAGTTGGCGGCGCGCAGGCTGCGCTGCAAGAAGGTAGACAGCAGATGGTGGAGCCGGTGCCAGTGCCAGTGCTATTGCCAGAGCTGCAGTTAGACTCCCCCTCGCCGCCTCCGCGCCACTGTCCACTCTCCACCCCACCGTGGATTTGTGATGCAGTTTTTGCCCCGTTGCCAGTTCGTTTGCTAACAAATGAGCGTCATGTCTTTGCCGTCGCAAAACAAATCTGACCAATTTTTTATGATAAATAACACCAGAGCGAGAGAGAGACAGAGGGACAGAGAGAGAGGGAGAGAGATAGGGATATAAAGACAGAGAACGCACGAGACACCGCTTGATAGACAGAGACAGAGAGAGAGAGTTGGAGACGAGGAATATGCACCAAAAACCAAGCAGAAGTGCGTCTTGGTGGCAACTGTTCGTCTAGCAAAATACCCTCTAGACAGAGATCATGAATGTATATATAAATATATATATAACCTAGATGCGTTCTCTACAATCTTTAATAAATGCACACCCAAAAATAGACCCGAAACGATAAGTCCAAATTTCTTCTTCTTGGAACAATTCAAACTCTTGTTCAAAACGCAAAGTCAAACTGAAATCGTTGAATGAAAATGCAGAAATGAATATAAATATATATATAAATATAATGCTTAATTAAAATATTTATTTTTTTAGTAAATAATCAATTTTGTAGTCATTTTGTGATGGCCTCTTTTATGATGGAATCTTGGCGAGAGATGAGTGAATATTAGCTAGATTTCTGAATGCATGTCTAAATAAAAATATATAGTTTGATTGTGCTAATCGGAACACTAAATACAAATAGATGATAGACCCCTTCTTGGCTGATGTGCTGGTCTTTGAGCTGGTTACAGGGTATTCAAATGTACTGCGTATAAGCAACTAAGCAGCCTGTAATATTAAGTGCGGGCCTCCGAGCGCTTAACGGGTGCCACGCATAGTGGCAACAATGGGGGAGCAGGGTGCGGCGGGGTGAGGCACTGAGCCACAGAGGCGACTCGGCAATTGGGCGACTGGCGGCGACTTGTGCAAACAAACAAATCGCCGCAGATTTATTTTAGTGCAAAGCGCACTGCGAAATTGCTCTGGCATGCGTGGGCAGTCAGTGCGAGCGAGATGGAGATACTCCACAAGAGAGATGGCAACATGATGGGAGACAGAGTGAGAGTCAGAGGGAGACAGAGACAGAGGCAGAGGCAGAGGCAGAGGCAGTTGCAAGCGGCGCTGTTGGAATCGATGCGCTATTGAAAAATGTGCGCTTTCAGCGCGGTAATTAAAAGATGAATCGTTCGGCATGTGGCAAATCTAATAAGTTGCCACAGAGTGCGGCGCAGAACGCTGGCAACAAATGACGTGTCATTAAGAGCGATAACGCCCCATTTTGTGGCAGCTACATATAAGCCAGGCTGCCAGGCTGCCCGACTTGCCACGCTCCACTCAACTAGCAGCTATGATTGATGCCAGCTTTTATGGCTAACGGAATGCGACAGGCAGCCAACTGGGCAGCTGCATGTTGCAAGAACAACGACAACAACAACAACAACAGCAACAGCAACAGCAACAACATCCAGCAAGTGAAAGTTTTACCCCTACAGTCCAAAATACATATGCATATGTACAGGTCTATATATATATATATATATATATATATAGCGGAAGCACCTAACGGCACATTCTAGCACATTTCACAATGACAATTAGCAAAGAAGACGGCGACAGGAACTGTTCCTGCCACATCAACAGCTGCTGCTGCTGCTGCTGCTGCCGCACGTGCCACAACTTTCACCGGCACTTAACGAATGGATGTATGTAAAAGGGTTGCCAGCCAACACTCTCATTTAGCTGATAGAAATCTTCCCCTGCTCATCGCGAATTCGGGTCACACACAAAAAAACACAAAAAAAACAAAGGAAGATAATAATAAAATAAAAGAAGTAGAAGAAAGAACAGTTAACAGACACCAGACAGCAAACATCAGACAGATATCGCAGTTGGGGTGCAACTCGCCTTCTCACCCCTCACTCCAGCAGTCTTCCTGGCTGCCTCAACTGGAGTCGAAGTCAACTGTCAACCAGCATTGTTAAATATAACTTCAGCAGCAGTTTCAAAGATTATAGCGTTGCCAGTGTTGTCAATATATGTATAAATAGTAGCAGCAATAAAATACAATTTAAATTCAGCCAAAAATAAGCAGTCAACTAAGAATGCTCTAGTCGAAGGAGCTCGATCCAAATCTATAATAATATCTATTCATAAGTCTTAGTTTAGTAAATCACAAAATACAATTTACAGATGAACAATATTACATCAAGCTACCTACGATCTGGAGATATATCTTTAAAATGCTGACTTCTATCGGAAATCGATTTGTATCGATATGTGCCAAAGGGCCAAAGTTATCGATCAAATGAAAAGCGTTGAAGGTCTTAAAAGGATTTAACGCGGATCAGTTTTGGATAAAGTAATTTGGGCTGCGATCCATACAGAGGCAAATATAATGCTATATATATATATATCTATTAGTCATTGGTCTCCGACTAGGTTCGTTGGCTCACCTAATATCATATCCAGGATGGTTGGGGAGGTTGGTCGAGGGTTGGGGCTTCTTTTGGCTGCACTTACCTGCAAATGGAATGAAACGAAAGAGTGGCAATTAGATAAAGATAAAGATTAAGATATAGATAAAGGTGCTGAATAGTAGTACACATATGTACACACACATACACACACACACACACACACACACAGAACAATCGATCAGAAAAGAACAAAGCGAATGCCGCCGTTCATTGTGCGAATGCTGAGAATAGATTGAAGGAGCTGGCTGAGAGAATGAATTGCATTGAATTGGTTGGGCCAACGATATTGCATAAGTGCGAACTGCAATTAAGCGCAATTCAGAGCGGGCTCAGAGTCAAGTGCGACTGCCACAAGACGTGCAACTGCAACTGCAACTGCAACTGCAGCAATCAGGCGTACAACAATGCCAACGCCAGGCTGCTGCTGCTGCTGCTGCTGTGAAAATTGATTAAACTCATTCATCAAATCAAATGTGTGGCAAGTTCAAATGAGAGGCAGCTGCAGCCAACTTGCAACTTACAGCCAGCCTGCAACTCGCACAACTGGCAACTTTGCAGCGACTGCCAATTACCTTGCCAAGCAAATCAATTGTTGCCTTAATCAAATAATAGACATTTCAGGGCCGCAGCCAAATAAACAAAGATCGCCCAACGACAACACATACCCTGTAATTACAGTTGTTGTTTGTCTTGTTTTCGTTTCGTTTTGTTTTGCTAATGAAATGTTAAATTAAATTGTTAAATCGTCATTTGAAATTTGATTTATTTATCGCCAAAAAATGCACTCAAAATAACTTGATTCAGTTTATTATTCAATTCAGGGCATATCAAAAATAAAATAGTGCTAAATTATTTAATAAAAAACAAAAGCAAAAAGCAAAAAAACAAAACAGAAAAACAGAAAAAAACCAAAAACAAACAACGCCAAATTCCATTAAAAACGACAACTTTCAAATGGCCAGTTGGCAATTTTTTGGACGTTGTTGCCAGAGAGAGAAAGGCAGCGACCAGGGCGTGGCCACAATTTACTTTATGCAGTTGCCAACAACAAGAACAACAACAGCAACAACAATGCGTATGCTTGTCTGCCAATGCACTTGGGGAAAAAAGAGAGAAACAAAAAACGACAAACGAAAAAAACAGATATGATCCAATTCAATTTAAGCGCGTGTCGCATGCAAACGACAAAAACAGCAAATAGCAAATTGTTGTAGTAGTTGCAGCAGTTGTTGATGTTGTTGTTGTTGCTGTTGTTGTTGGACAAATGCAATTACAACTAAACACACAGACACGAGGAGTTGACGCCACCGCCAACGACGAAAGCGCACTTTTTACTCCGCCCACTTTTCCCACACCCATATTTGCAATGACGACGCCGGCACGACGATGCAACAGCAACAACAGCAACAATAGCAACAACAGCAACAACAGCAACAACAACGGCAACAACAACAACATTTAAAAGAGAGAGGTTACAACAACAGCTTACATTTACAATAATAATTAATGCAAGCCAAAGCCACAGATGCGCTTTAGTAATACACTCAGCAAAAGATCGCACTGCCTTTAACTAAATCATCGTCATACTTTTTGGTGGCAAGCGTAACTCATCCTATTATTCGGCAAGTGTATATGTCTAAAAGGCAGATTGTATCTTACTAAAAATCAGGATTTTTAATTACATTTTACTAAAGTGTAGAAATAATCGAACGAAATATTATTTGGTAAAAACAACTGTTTGCCATTCTACTTCTCAGAAATATTTTTTATATTATTAGAAAAAAAAAATATTTTTTTAAATAGAAAGAAATGAACAAAGCGCTCTAATTATAGGGACATATATTTGCTATATCCAAAGAGCAAAACATGTTCGTATTTTGCAGGTCGATTTTCAATTAAAAGCGATTTTTTGCCAGTGTACATATATATATGTGTATATATATATATATGGCTAAAATAAAAGTGCTCAGCTTTGCTTGACAAACTTAAAGATGAAACTAAACAAAATTGAAAAAGCAGTTCGAATAATATGAAATTTGTGATGACATCAAAGTTTCGCATGAATCTTTTTAATTCTACTGCCTTTGCCCTTGCCGGCTAACATGACTTTTCATGCCTTTCTCTTTGTCATGCCTTCTGTAGGCAATTGTAATTGAATCAAATTTATGAGTGTTGTTGTTCTTCTCTTGCTTTTTGTGATTTTGTGAGATGGGCGGGGCTGAGGGAACTGGGCGACAAGCAAATGCGATTCACACCTGAGCAGTGTCTCTGTCTCTGCCTCAAATTGTTGTTTGTTGTTTTTTTCGCTGTTTTTCTGCTTTTCTGTTATTTTTTTTTGTTGTTTTTGTTTCTATGTATTTTTGTCTGTTTTGTCTCATTCGCATTCGCATTCGCATTCGCATCTGTTGTCGTTGGCTGTCTGTCAGCGCTGACGTTGATGAAAAGCGTTGCGGTACTCGTGGGAAAATCAGCTCAGCGCTCCTCTGCTCCTCTTTTGCTCACCCCCCCACCGCCCACCCCTCCTTTTTTTTCGTGTTATTTGCCACGTTTGCGGTTAGGTGTGTGTGTGTGTGTGTGTGTGTGTGTTGCAGTTGTGTGTTGCTGCTTTTGGGCTTTGCCATTTTGTGTAGGCTGATGAAAAAGTTTCGCCGCAATTCGTTGCGCTGCATTAAGCAAAGCAGTGCAACAACAACAACAGTAACAACAACAACAACAGCAACAACAGTAACAACAGCAACAGCAATAACAACAATTACAATCAACGTCGAAAATTGTTAGGCGAAAGCAATTTTTGTCGCACCTGGTTTGCCTTCAAAGATCGTTCACTCTCTCCCTCTCGCTCTCTCTCACTCTGTGTGTGTGTGTTGCTCTCTCTTTCACTCCTTCCTATTGATGCCCGCTCGTTTGGCATTTGTTCTTATCGACAATGCGCTATTCCACCTACCCCAACCACACCTGCACCCCTCGCACACCCCGACGCCTGCCAGAGCAGGGCTTATCGGACGACGACGAGGTCGAAGTCGGCCTGCTGATACGCATATGCATTTCTATTTCGATTTCTATTTCAATTTTCCAATTTTATTTCCAGAGTCTTTGGGAACGGTCTCCAAAAAGAGACGACTTTGGTCCCCGAACACTAAATTATGAATAATTATTTCAAATATTTCACATTTCAAATATGAATCTTTGTGCAAAATATTTAACAAACTCAAATGATTATATTTAACAAATCGTTATTGATTTTGTTGCTTTTTGTTGGTTTTTTTAAAACACCAACTGAATTGGATTTTGGTCGGAAGAGGTTTCTGTGCCAGCCCCGATAATGCATATATATAAATTGCATTTCGTTTGTATTAAGATTGAGTCTGATAAGGACAAACAGCAGCAACAAAAAATCAAAAAGCAAAAAGCAAAAAGCAAAAAACAACAAACAATAAATTGCCAATTATTGCATTTGATGGCATTTCATCGCGCTGACAACGACAGCCAGTCTGCTAAATAACATAATCACTCTATGGAAATGATTAAGATGTTTATAGAAATGGAAATGTTTATATAAATAAGGGTCAGTCTCGTCTTGGCCACATCAATCAATCATGCATCAATTAGAGACCATTAAAAACAGCTGCAGGACGAATCTGAGCTGTGAAAGTCTTTTCTGTTTTCTTCCCATACAAAATTGATCAGTGATATTCAGGTTAAATATGAATAACTTGTGAATGCTTTCCATGTGAGTTGATTCAGGGTTTTTATGAGCTCCCCACAGTGCGTATGCTTAATAATGTGGTTATTTAATATAACGTATACGTCACATTTGCAATTATAGATTTTACTTGACTCACCCTGTTTGCTTATGCAGCAGGCAGCGACACACACGATAAAGTTGTTGTAAAAAAGTATTACAAATAAAAAGAACAACGATTATTTGCACAGATATTGTAGAATTCGTTGACTCTCTCTCTCTCTCTCTCGCTCTTTTTCTCTTTCTCTTACTCCTCTTTCACACACACACACTACTTCCTTTCTCTTTCTATTATATGAAAAACGTGGCGTTCATTTCTTGTGCACTGCTCGAAATATATATATATATATATAAATATATTTGTACATTAAATAAAATAAAAATAAAAAAAATAAAAAAAAATGGCTTTGCAATTACAAAACAACAACAGCAACAACAAGAGAGCAGCAGGGCAACGGTAAACGTTTAATGGTTAACGGCAAACGCAAAATCGCAAAAATGGCACGGACTGCGTCCAAAGGAATTCACGCTTATGAACACGTAGACGCAATGCTGCAACCGCTGACGCTGACGCAGGCGCGACGCAGACGCAGACGTCACGGAGACGCAAGCGACACGTTACACGAGCCGCTAACCACTCCTCCTGCAAGCGGCAGCAAACACGAACAGCAACAACAACAACAATGGATAAGCGTGTAGCCTTGAGATCAGCGCAGGCGGAAATTGACAACGGAAAAAAAGTGCGTCAATTGTTGCTGTTATTGTTGCTGCTGTTGATGTTGCTGTTGCTGTTGCTGTTGATGTTGCTGTTGATGTTTTGTTCCGAGTCGAGAACCCACTTAGAATGCAACGTCAACGACGGCGACGACGACGACGACGACGCACACACAAATAACTAACAGCGACTGTAGTAAAATGACAACTGAAACCGCAGGCGCATTGAAAACGAGTAACGACAACGGCGACGGCAACGGCGACGACGACGCCGACTGCGGCGCAACTGCAATTGGCGCTGGCTGCGCTCAGAGCGTTGGCGTATAAAACGACGATTCTAACGCAGCCGACAGCGACGGCGTCTTTTTTTCACAGCTGCTGCTGCTACTGCTGCTGCTTGCTTTTTTCGCATTCTATTTTGCAAGCTTTTCACTTTTTGACGACGGCGACGACGACGACGACGACGACGTCACGGCGACAATTGCACTCGCATTAGATGTAGAGCGCCTGCTGCCCGTGAGAGCATATTGTGTTTTGTGTGTTTTGTGTACAAGGGAGTGAGAGACAGAGAGAAAGAGAGAGAGAGAGAGAGAGAGAGATAGGGCGATAGGCGGCACAGTGGTCGCTCGCTAAGAGCACTTGTATATTTGCAAATTAATGCATGGTTCTTAATCCATTTCATTTCTCGAAAAATAACTCTAAATTTGTCCTTTTTTCGTTTGTTTTAAGTGAGTCCTTAATTAATTTCGTTGGTCGAATAAACACCCCAATTCGCTGTGCGAGCGTTAACTGTACAACGAATTATAATTCTTTTGGTGCGAGAGTCCTTAATCAATTTCATTATTTTTTATTTAATTTGTTGTGTGTGTGAGTCCTCAAATAATTTCATTCGTCGAAACAAGTCTACCGTCTCTGCTTGCGAGCGTTCACTGTACAGCGAATTCTTTTTTATTTATTTTACGTTTTTTGTGTGAGAGTGCGGAAATGCAGCGGGCGACGCAGCCGCGTGCAAGGCCAACGGCGTGCGAAAGAGCCAGCGCATAGTGTGCGTGTGTATGTATGTATGTAACTGTGTGCGTGCGTGTGTGTGTGTGTGTGTGTGTGTAACAAGTGTAACTGATCGCGTTAGACGTGCGGCGAGCGAGTGCTGCTCGCGTCGTATGCATAATCGCACACAGACTGCAGCTGCCTGCCTGCCTGCCTGCCCAACTCTTAACTGTCAACCGTTAGCCGCCCCCCCTTCCCCTTCCCCACCCCCTAGCCGTTGTCGCTCTGCCCACACCGACTCACTCGGCCTGTGATCAGTCATCGGCGCACATTGCACGCGCGTGCCCTTGAAAATTTGACCCAAACGCTGCAGTTGCAGCTGTAGTTGCCATGCTACAGGCCCTCCCCTCCTTCAGCGCCCCGCAACCTATCCGCCCCCCTTTTAATGTTTGCTCGCAAACAAAAGAAAGTGCACAAATTGTTGAAATTCTTAAAAATAAAACACAAGTTTCGCGTGCATGTGCGCAAAAAGCACAACACAATTTTTGGGGAAAACAGCAGAACGCCACGAATAACGCGAATGTGCGGCGCACAAATCAAATCTATTTGTTGCCATGACCAGCGTGTGTGTGTGTGTCTGTATGTGTGTGTGTGTGTGTGAGTGAAAGCCAATGTCCAACAGTTTTCATTGCCAAACACAATTTTTATACAAATGTGGTGCGGTATTTATTTTGTTTGGTTTCTCGTCTTACTTTTGTTTCGTTTTTTTTTTTTTATTCTTATTTTGTTCATTTTTTTTGGGGCGGTTTTTTTTACCTTGCTATTTTTTGCTTAGTTGCGCAAAAGAAAACAAATGCAAAAGAATCAACCGACAAAAACAACAAAAACCAAAATAATGCCAAGCAGCATCAAAAGACGCGCAAAAGACTGCAGCACAATAGACGAAAGATCTATGTGGGAGCGACAGAGAGAGAGGGCAGAGTGCAAGAGTGGAGACTGCAATCTCTCCACTTTCAGATGTACACACACACACACACACACACATCTATTTACATTTGTATGTATTTTGTGACGTTTGCGGGAAGTGCGCAGATGAATAGAATCGCATGAAGACCAAAAAGGAATTGAGTTTCATTTCCAATACGATTACAATATTAAATATGCCGCTTATAGTATAATTTTTAATAATGTTCTTATCAACTTAAGCTATTTGTTTAATTTATCGTATTATTTATATTTATTATTATATGAAATCATTATTTGAAGTGCCTGACACATATTTTTATTGTTATTTTTTTTTAAATTGAATTTAATTACCTAATGTTTTGAATTGTAGGGTGAAATATGAAATTTCTATGCGACGATCGCGAAAGCAATTCAAAAGTGCAATGCCAAACTATTCAACATCTCTACACACACACACACATACACACACACACACACACACACAGAGTACATAGTTTTATGTGCGCACTCTGCCAAAGTCGCGCCAATTGCAAACTATTCAAGGTCGTGCGGCGAATGCACCTAACCCAGCAACAACAACAGCAAGAATAATATATAACAACAACAATACAGTTCCGCCCGCATACGCAAAATGTTTGAGTGTTCTTCAAATTGCAAACAAGTATACAAAACAACAACAACAATAACAACAAATACAATTTGCGCTCGTAAATTGCAAAAGCGTCGCAGTCGCTGCCGCTGCCGCTGCCAACAGCAAATGAATTTCACTGTCAAGGTCGAGAAGCGTCGCGTCGTCGCTCGTTTCGATGCGCAACGCAATGCGATCGCTGCACTCGCACTCGCACTCGCAATCGCAGTCGCAGAAAGAGAGCGCGAAAGATAGAAGAGAGAGGAGAGAGAGAGGAGAGCGTGTTCGCTGGCGCGTGTGGGCGCGAGCGCATTCGGCATTGACGGAAACGACGTGCAGCTTATGTAAGTGCAGCGCAGCGCATGTTGACCACCCCACTGTGTGGAGGGGGTGTGCGGGTAGCAAGCATCCAAATGCATACGCATGACGTCGCTGCCTCTGCTGCTGCTCTCTTTCTCTCTTTCTCTCTGTCTCTCTCTCTCTCTCCCTCGCTCTGCTTCTCTGCTCTGGCTCAGCACGCAGCATTTCCTGCAGTTTGTCGCTGCGCATTTTTCATATCGTTCTTGGTTTTGCTTGTTGTCGTTGTTTTCTCAGTGTGTGTTTTTGTGCCATTTCGCATGTTTTTCTATCGCCGCAATTGTTTTTCTCAAGTTCGCGGCTCTTGTGCAATTTGTCAGACCGCATCCTTACCCCTCTCCCCCGCCCACTCGACCAACCAACTCACCTAAACATCTACATCCCACTCCCCCCAACAGAATGCGTAATAATTCACAAATTGCAGCGGGCGGTAAACAAAAACAGCCATAAATCAAATGTGGAGCGAACAAACCGAACTAGCCGAGACTCATGGACGCCACGCCCTGCACATCCTCACTAGTCGGCCACCCCAACCCACCCGCAACACCCCCGAAAATGCACACATAATTTGACATAAGCGATGTTAAAGTTCAACCGCAAAACAACATCAAAGGCAACGCCAAAATCATCAGCTGATGATGCCTGGCAATGATTGACTCGACTCAGCCAAACTCGCCACTGCTGCTCGACTTGACGACGATGCGACGGCGGCGATAATGTCAAAGGCAGTCGCGGACACCCGAGCACCCGAACACACCCGAACACACCCGAACGCCCGAACAGCTCTTCGGCGGCTCCCAGCTCACGGTCGCTTAATCATGTTCAAGAAAGCAACAGAAAATAAAAAACGAAAAAAATATAAATAAAGTGCAGCAGCATCGTCGTCGTCGAATGCAGTCTGCCTGTCAAAGCTGCGATTAATCTCACTCACGGAGAGCGACCGAATGCGGAGCGAGCGAGCGAGAGAGAGAGAGAGAGAGAGCGAGCGAGCGCAGCCTCAGCCTCAGCCTCAGCCTCAGCCTCAGCACAGTGGCCAACAGTTCAATGGGAATGCAATGAAAATGGAAATATATCGAAATCATCTAAATGCAACTAAAAAATGTGATAAAATTAATTTTATTTTACGTATGTGGAATGTGTATTTATTGTGCACATGTGCAACTGTTGAATGTGGATGGATTTTAATATCTTTGCTTTCGCCAAATATGTAAATGAAATATGTAAATAAAAAGAATACGAATTTATTATCGATTTCCATTTCGACTGAGGAATTTTGTTCAGACCTATTTAATTGGAAATGTTGTAGTCATATAACATAGATCAATTTTTAGGCTAGACACAATTTACATATAGCATCTGCTTGGGCTAATTACCGAATGGAATTTGGAGGCGAGATTACAGCATAGTGGCCACTGTGGCAGCAGCATTCATAATTGAGATATGAACTTGGTAATATTTCATAAAAGCCTGGTCCGAACTAGAGAGCCTGGCCAACTGGGGAACTGGGAAACTAGCTGGCTGAGTGCTGATCGCGGCTTGTTCGTCTAGAAATAACTTAATTGTCACTCAATTACTCAGTTTTCAGCTAAAAGCATTCATTGCTCTGGCTTAACGTCAGAGCCAAACGCCCACTGAGGCACAGAGCGGAGCTAAAAAAAAAACAAAGCTAAAGAAACTGGACAATTGGACAACTGGAGAAGTGGGCAACTGGGAAACTGGCGACTGGCGACTGGCGACTGGACGCACGTTGACTCTGCTCCTTGGCTAGGCGTGAATAATAGGCGAGAGCCGAAGAGCTGTGGCCTGAATGAAAATTGATGAGTTGCGACAGTTTTTGGCCAAAGGGCAAAGCGGCTAAAAGAACCCACAACAAAAAAAAAAAAAACAAAACAAAAAATATATGTTTATATTATATACATATATATATATATATACATAAGAATAAAATGAAGCAAAATAAAAAATGAGTTTAAAACTGGGCACGGCTCAGCAGAGAATAGCAACAAAACAACAACAACAACAACAACAAATACAACAACAACAAAAAAGGGAAAAAGAAAACGTTTGTCATGCCTTTCAGTTCCAGGCTGGAGAGTGGCGAATCCTCGGGCTGCATTCGGGGATTGCCAACTCAATGCAACCATCAATCAAATTTACTTCTTTGCCACATTGTAAATGTGTATATATTTATGTAAATATGTATATATACATATATAT